TGGTATTCGAACCGCGATACACACTGTGCGAGGTCGAGCTTCGTAACCAGTCGGCTTCCAGGACACACTATAAGAACGAACATTTAGGGCAACTGCGTTGCTATGGGCGAGAGAACGGGAAGAAGAGAGAGAGATTGAGAAAGAAAGAGAGAAAGGAAAATAGAGAAACAGAAGCACACAGAAAGTAACAGAAAGATTCGCTTGGTTGATTTTGGCGGCTTAATAATAATAATAAACTCTCTTCAATAGCTGGTGACATCTATCTATAAATCTTAATAGCTGAGTGCCGCCCGCTACGCTCTGCCGTTCTTCCAGGCTTGGCCCTACCGTGGGCGAAACCGTCCTAATATTTGGGCCACCCTTAACTAGCAGTAACTATCGAAATATATTTTTCGGCATTTACACATTACACAACTGTGCATTTTGAAAACTGCCGAATCGATTGAAAAACTATAAAGCTGGTACTGTTACTATAGTAAAACTTTTTACTCTTTTATTTTTTGCTCTTATACATTACACCCCTGTAGAGCATCCCGCCTCTCTTGTTGAACCTCCCTGCCTTTGTTCTGCTATCTCTCCCTCTCTCGCTGTTCTTTTTCGTAGGATCAGCAACGTGAATGAACGTCTGCGTGCGAGTTGAAGATTTTGCTGCGTTGCTGTCATGCACGTAGCACTCGCCAAGCACAATACTGCGTGAACGTGCCGCTATCGCAACCTATTTCGTTTTATATACGGCTCCCGAGAGCAACGAAATGGTTAACAAGGGATGGAAAACGCAGTCGTGTAAGGCTGACAGATGGAGTGACGAACTTAGGAAGTTCGCGGGGTTAAAATAGCAGTCAGCTCGCAGAGGATCGGGTAACCTGTAGATCATTGAAAGAGGCCTTCTTCCTGTCGTGCACTAACACAGGCCGAGAAAGATGATGCTGACGACAACCATGTTGAAATGAAAAATACAGAAAGACCACAGTTTATGAGACTGCGTAGTCAACAAGGACAGGACGTCATTTGACAACCTTGACTGCGTGTACGCACCATCACGCGCCGGTAACATATGACGTCACACGGTCAGAGCGAGTTGCCTGACCGTGTGACGTCATGTGTCGTCATGAGTTGACCGTGTGAGTTGACGACCTTGCTAAACTGAGACAAAGGTTTGCCCGCGAAGCAGATCGGGTTAATTGGGGGTTTCCGCGAGCGTGACCGCTCTACGCAACCGATAAGTGCAGTGTTTCAGTGTCGGTGCGTGTGCCTCAAGTCACGCGGCAGGCTGCTTGCCAGGTTCACTTCGTGGAAGTGGGACCTAAAGACCGCGAAAGCTATTTACGGCGGGTCGGAGAATCACCCGATCGCTGTGAAATCATTCTCCGTCTAGAGAGCCTTCATACTAGAGCATAAAGATTGAATAACAAGTTATCTCAACGTCTCATGCTTTGGTACGCAGCTAAGCTGATATATTCTGATACAAATTGCATAATGTTTCAGGTGCCTTGATGTGAACGACTTCGCAGTGCTTGCTGTCGTTCATTACTCGGGCTAAGTGCTGGAACACGGAAGGTGCAAAACTTAGGTAGATGTTTAATGACGTGTTGGCCTGGGCTACCATTGACTTGTTTCATCTTCACAACAAGCTAAAACAACGGTCGTAAATCAGAGGGTCTTTGTGACTGTATTGTTGGGTTAAGCGTGGCGAGACGTAGCTGAGTGATCCATAAAGACAAACTCGCCGAAGAAGTCTGGTGTTATGCCTTCCATGAAAATCGTACTGTAATTGTTCTTCCGTTCATAATAATCCTCAGCTAACGTTCATGAAATAAACTTTAACAGGATTATTCGTTGTTATTTAACCATGAAAAAGCTTTGTTCTGAATTGATTTTTGTAAAGTTTACGATCACGAAAAAAAAAAATTGGTCCGGGAAGCCTTTCTATAATCTTGATCCGAGTACACGTTTTCACGACGCAGTTACGATGCGAAAGAAGATATAAAATATAATAAAGAGAGAAAGACAGAAAAACGTGAGTGTAAGAGGAAAGAATGACAAGGACCGGCAAAAATAGGACGTATTTCGTCGCTCAGTTTTCTCTCCGAGCAACATGTTATACAGCTCGTTACATGGCGAATGAATAATCATAAGCTCGGAAGTTTGGGAAAAAAGTGTAAGTCAATGACCACCGCTTAGATCAGCCTTGCGGGCGTGCATCTTACAGACTCTGTCAACGCGCAATCTGTATGCGGAGGCATGCATTGGTTGGAGCCGTGACGGCGCGTGACGCGAATCCATAAGGCGCTACTCTTCGTACTGGAGGGCTAAAGAGGTATGCATTGGTGCTGGTGACGTCATATATCATCTGACCAGAATTTAAACTCGCCTTTAGAAGGGATGACCTTCAAGAAACCGTTAATGAATGATTTATATGCGTGGTTGAGAGGTTGCGCTCCTGTTAAATCACAAGTATTAAATTTTTTCACTCAATACTTACTGATGACACGTTGCAATCAATAAAAATTGTACTAAAGGCATGACATACAGATGTTATTTTAACACCGCCCGTAACTACTGTACCTTGTAAAGAATATAGCCAAATTTAGTTCAATCCGCTATTAATATCTTCGTTAGATGACGTACTAGCTGATATCTAAAAAAAAAAGCTCACCAATACCTGTCATGCGTGCCGAAAAACTGACATATACATATACATGTTCCACACTGATAACATTTGCAAGGCGAGCGTGGTTTGATAAATGAAGAATAAGTCTCACCGATTAACGACGACACATTTCCTTTTTTTTGTTTTTTTCTTTGCTGAATTCAAGATGATGGTACTTGAGGGAGAGCACACATGACAATATTATTATTTTCGTAATAGAACTACAACTGAACGAAACAAGAGTGCAATGAATCTCTAAATTATAGGAGCACTACGCTGGTGTCGGCACACCTAATTAGGACGTCAATTTGTTGCCTAATGCATAGATGACCGCGATGTTTGGTAACTCGGAATTGTTTATGGTGTTTGGTGCCCCATATATGATGTTCGCATCTTATCAAATAGTTGTTGCTAGAAATATTCATGGTCGCAGATTGCTGTCCTTAGGCGTAACTGTTAAATAAGGTGACAACTTAAGTATGGTTGGCGTTTAACATGCTTGGATACTGGGAAGCCAGGGCTTATGGAAACCACGAAGCAAGAACAATATACAACATTCAGTTGGCCAGCCAACTGGACGTGGTATTTTTTGTGCGTTGTCTGTACGCCTGTCGGTGAAAATCCGAAGCGTCATTTTACACTTAACAACAGGGGCACCACGGCAAACACTGCGATTAACACGGACGAAGACCAGAAGTCGACAGAACGCTGCGCTGGCTTTCAACTGAAATGTTATTAAATAACTCAATAGCACGTTTTCGTCCTTGTTAATCGCACTGTTAGCCATGATGAATCTGCAGCAACTCGCCCAGTATTCCAACATTTTGAACAACAGCAGCTTTACGAACCTTTAGGCACACGTTTCGCAGAGCATCCTGAAGTTCTTATGGACGAATTTTGTGTGTCATTTAAAAGAAAGCATATACATTCTTTCAGTTTTGCATCAACGTCATCAGAAATGATGGTGACGAGTTATCATGAATAATCAACAATGTAAAATAAATAATAAAGAAGACAGAAGTTCAGTGGAAGTTAGAAGCTTAGAAGAGACGAAAAATTCGCGAGAATTTGTGACATACCGTGTTCGCGAACTTTTCAGCCCAAACGAAGTCGCTTTATTTTTCGTCAGGGTCATTAACTGTCACTGGTATATTCTGGATGTTGCAAAATTATTTCCCAGCGATAAACAAGACTTTATCTGCATTCTACGTAGATTTAAAAATTCTCATTATGAACATGCAAATGATCTTGAAGCTCGCTGTCTGTTGCAAGTAAGAAGAAAATTTCTTCAGTTGCTGCCATAAAACGAACAAATTTTGCCATAGTCGAATGTATGGTATAATAAGGAATCTTCTTTAGAATTTCGAAAGTGTTTTTTTTTACAATAAAACGCACAGTGTCCCGATGTTTCTTCATGACAATAATAATAAGCAACATATAGTCCAAATGATTACACAGTTACTTGTTGGCAGCTATGTAGCTTTATATAAAATTATCCTCTCTCACACATTTGGGCTTACGGCCATAGAAAAATAAATTTAAAATGTGGGGATATATATATATATATATATATATATATATATATATATATATATATATATATATATATATATATATATATATTAGTTATAAACTTCGAGAATAGTGCAGTATAGGAAACAAAACAATAAAATATTTATTTAATCCTAACAGTTTCGGCTGGTGGACCAGCCTTCTTCGGAAGAAGGCTGGTCCACCAGCCGAAACTGTTAGGATTAAATAAATATTTTATTGTTTTGTTTCCTATACTGCACTATTCTCGAAGTTATAACTTTTATTACGGTAGCCGGAAGAAACTCTGATCATCTATTTCATCTATATATATATATATATATAATATATATATATATATATATATATATAGATTCACTAATTCTGGTGACATAATGTACGTATGGAGCCATGGTGGGTCGTTCTAACTTTATTATGTTAAATCGTTTGTTGAATATTTACTTATTATTAATTAAATGCACTTCCGGCATTTGCAAAGAAGCCATTAATGCATACTGTGATGTGTTTCAAGACGAATATGATGACATACATGAGAAATAACAAAATATTAAGGCCAATAGCTGAAAGAAACAAAACACTGACGTGTCACTGAAACATCAAGAGGAAATAAAATTGTGCAACTTTAGCATTTGATGTTGTGATCCTGCAGTGTGTGCGTATTTTTTAACAGGCTAGTAAATGAAAAAAAAAAACAACAAGATTGGGCTGGGTCCACTTCTTTCATCAAAGCAGACGCACTAAAGCGGAACATGTATTAAAGCTCAGTGCACTCGATAAGGCACAATTGAAGCTAACTTACTCCTTGCGCATTCCTTAATGTCAGCCATGATGGCGCGCAGATCGGACATGACCACCTTAGTCTTCTCGTTGCGGAGGAAGTGTCGCTTGCAGGTGATGCTCATGTTGAGGCCCTCGGCGAGCTCGCTCAACTCGTTGAACAGCGACTCGTAATAGACGTTGCGGTCGCGGTACACGATGCCGAACCGTCGCCAATCGAAGTGGCCCAGGAAGGCCAGTATGGCCCTCGCCTTGTCCCTGAGCACGTACGACGTCCGTATGAGTGTCGACGTCTGGTTCGGGGTCCTCTCGAAGCTGTCGCCGAGGCCCGTGACGATAGGGATGTGTCGGTAGCCGGCGAAGCTCTCGACGATGTACAGGTCGCTGCTGCACGACGGTCCCACAAAGGCGCTGACGCGCGGTACCCGCTGGACAAGGATCCGTAGCCCTGCCGATGGCGAAGCGGGCCGAACATCGGTGCGGATAGTAGGCCTGGAGTGAGCTGGAGTTTTGTACCGTACACGTGACGACAGGTCTCTTCAGCCGCGATGTCGATGGCCGGACCGATGCGCTGGATGTCGAAGCGGTTCTCCTCCGAGCGCGACACCATGATGACCCCGACAACGTACTCAGTGGATGAAGCGGCACTCGGTAGTAGAAGCATAGCGGTGAATAGGACGCAAAGACGGCGCGAGGTAAAGCCGCAATAAGTCCGCAGTGGCCGTGCGGTGAGACGAAGCAACTTTTTGGACGCGATCCATGAGGGAGGCAAATGCACCGGCACGCCCCGCTCGAAGCACGCAGGCTGTTAAGATGCCGCCTTGGGCTGTATAGCGTGTGGGCCGAGGAGCGCGGCACCAGCCCGCTGGCGAGGAGCGACTAAGGTGAACTGAGCAGTGCCCTGTTGCCGCGACTCGTGGGGCGACCGAGGCGCCGCCCGAAGCAGCGCCCAAATGGAGCGGGGGCCTGCCGCACAGGCACCACCAGCTTCCTTCGTTCGTTGCCACTTGTTCGTCTTTTCTTGCGCATCGGATTCACTCTTGGGTAGTGTGCGTGGCCTTGCCTTCGTAACGGTAACTGCCTGGTGCTGGGCGACGAAACTGATAGCCTTCCGTTTGCAGCGGAAAATACAGAGCGCCGAATTTCGCTTACGGAGTGCACTTTGCTAGCTCGGCGTTCACTTTCAGCGCTAAGTGGGGAATAATCGCGCCGATGAAATGTTTTCAGGAGAGCCAAATTAGTCTCAGAAGAGGTCTCTCTTTTTTTTCTTTTAGGCTAAGAACTCAAGGAAAGTTATGAAAAGACAAGCTGTGGTTTTCTGGCGGACAAAGCTAATTAGAATTCCCTGTCACGCAGTCACTTGGTGACGGAAACACAGAAACCACTTTCTGCAAAGCTGACGAGGTGTACTCAAGGAAATTCGGATGCGGTCTGGATAAAAGAAAAAAAAAGAACAGGGGTTGGACAACTTTTGTACTGAACCTGCATATGCGTTTATGGAATTCTCGCTTCGGAACTATTGAAATGCCTTTCGATAATTGTAGTTCGCCAATGAGAACTATGATTTTGCAATTTGTAAGGCGGGTTGTGTAAATGCTTTGTTTACGCCATACGAGAAAAAGATATCTTTGCTATTTAACATATATGTGAAACGTGTACTTTAGTTGCCATCTGCGCACGTAATTCTGCATCTCTGTCCTTTCACTACATCTGTGATTTATTCCTTATTATGACAAATATACACAACTGGAAAACTTGCTTACGAGTGTGTTTTCCCATTCCGAAATGATTAGATGTTAGGTACAACCACCAAAGTAGCACTAAAAAACTTTAGGTAAACCTAAGTAAGGTCCAACGCGATATCAAGCATGCATTGCCACTGTGCCTCTTAAAACCCACAGTTATGATATCGCTACCGCTGGTTACGACGTTTAGTGTTCCTTCCGCCTTATTCGAAGAAAACGAGGATAATGGGATACTTATATACAGACACACAAGGCGTTGTATAACTAACCTAAAATCAAGAGCTACGCAAATAACTCGTTGGCTGCCGCTCCAGTTTATGTTGCACTCTACCGTGCATCTCCGCTCCTTGTTATGCTCATTTCGTATAATAGGGCCGTCTTGTGACGCTTTTTAATTAGAAGAATATTTTGTGTATTAAAAGTTGACTCTAACTCGATTAGCATAATGCCTTATACTCTTATTAGACGAATACTGATGACAGCTAACAGACTAATGGTTAAAGAGGATGTAAAATCCGCTGTTCTATTTGTCAATAAGGTCACTTCCGCACGAACAAATATACTTAAAGTACTTCCATGGTAAACATTCATCTTATGACAGGGAATTTACTAAACATCATTGAGTTGCTTTCGGAACACAGCTTGATATGGGACGACGCCATAATTATTGGCAATACAAGGCAAGCATTGCTCTAGCTCCGAGAAGAGATGTAATGCAATAGGTGCACCTACCAGCATCAATGCAGATAGACAGGTGTCTATACCGTCTCATCTTCCTGGAAGGGAGACTTTGTCGAAGAAATAAAACGAGCTGTGTTCAACGAGGTGGGACATTGACCCAAATAACTAATAAAAGTGGTTTGCAATCCAGATAAAGAGCGTACTGTTACAATGAGAAACGGTGCTATGTCTCCCACGATAAAAGAGAAAAAAAAAACACTTGTGGTATATTTTCTGATCTGACTCAGCAGTTGCGAATCAAACATTTTCCCGCCACCGGATATTTTCACTCTAAAACATTTTCGCTACACATTTTCAAGCGCTCAAAACACGCAGGTTTCCTTTCGTAACCTTGTCGGCTCCGCCCCACGGCGCACTTGACAATTGGGTGATATAAAAAAAGCGTGCGCAGAAAGAGACCAATTGCCCTCCGTGCTCTAGAGAAAAAAAATAAATAATGGCGACTGATTATACCCCGTTGCGCATATTGAATATTGAATAAGGCAAAGAATACGGCCTAGATTCACGCTTTCCGCGGGGTTTAACGCACGTGCGTGAAAGTGAAGGTGCTCCGGGCGCCTTTCTTTAGCAAACGACGGCCGTCCAGAGAGGCGTCTGTTGACCGGACGTCCGCTGGGCGGGCGTGTCACAAGAAGGGACACTCCCGCTTGTCAAACATGTCCGCTGAGGGGCATGTTAGAAGGACAGTGACTATGAGTCGAAGCTGATCATATTACCCAACGTTTGTCAGTGTACTTTCGGCACCGGTCGTTAGCACCTACCTCTCCTGTATGCTTTTACGTGTAGCAGGTTTACTGATCATCTCACCATCTTACGGGTAGTAAGGTGAGACTGATTTATTGCCATTTACTTTTCATGTGTCCAATATCCTGCCTTTGTTATTTCCGCTATTGCGGGATATTTCGCTACAGTGATAAGTTTCAAATTGATTTCTCCGAGTGTTCTTGGAAGATACGTTATATTTCTGTTTCGTTTATTTATCCTTGCGTTAGGGTACCAAGGATGTTACAGTTTTGTAACGTTCGCTTCTATTATCTGTAAACAGTTTCTTGACAGTTTACGGGTACTGTGACCTCAACATTACGGCACAGTAGAGAAGTGATTGGACCAAATTTAGCCTACGATGTTGAGAAGAAATGCTGCGAAAAGTAAAATATTGCTGTCAGAAAAAGAAAGACGAAGGAAGGAAATAAATCTACCGCCTATAATTTAGCAGGCTATAGATGTAAGCGCCGAAGATTGTGAATTTATGAACAATACGCACATCTCGCTTTCACGGTGTTTAGCTAAACAGTGTGTACCTGCTGTTAGAACCAAAACATGGGGTTTTCAGTGAAAAATTCTGTACCTAACCTGCCGAAACCATAAAATTATGAGGAACGCTGCAGTATATATAGGCTATAATATGAATGGATTTAGCCCCCCCCCCCCTGGTTTTTTTAAACTTGAATTTCAGTGCATGATTCACCTCTACATGGTTGGGTTGGTTACTTCCGCAAGCTGAGCAGGGTCAGTGGTAATTGCGGAGAAATCCGTCACGATAAAGTTCACGACATCGCATCTGCCATAATCAATGGCTGCAGAACTCGCTGCCACCCGTGCTGCTCTAGAGTTCCTAGCAGAAGAATCACTACAGACATGGTCAACATTCTCCGACTCCAAAGCAGCCCTTTAGAGCACTACCTCGTCATATCGTCATGGACCGGAAGATCAGCTAGTCGCTGAAGTCCGGCTGCTATATTACCGGGCTATAGAGAAGTAGCATGACATAGTGTGTCAATGGATATAGGGCCACTGCGGCATCGACGGAAATGACCATGCAGATGAAGCAGCCCAATCTGATCATGACGCTGCCCTTTGTGCAAGTATACCATTATCAAGAACGGACGCCGCTACAAGGCTTCGACCACTTGCACAAGAACTGACGCTAAATCGGTGGATTAAGACAGCATTTACCAACGCCCATCTTCATAACTTGGACCCACACCTACAGCTTCGTCTTCTGTTGGGAATAACCTGAGCTGAAAAAATGCTCTTGTGCCGTGTGTGGCTCTGGGTAGACTGTACGAATACTTATTGGTTTCAGATCGGGATGGCCAGCAGCCGTGCGTGAAGACCATTGCCTTCACGTGCGTGGGACCGTGCGTGTGTAAGACCTGCCGTGCGTGCGTAAGACCTTCACGTGCGTGAAGACCATTGCCCGCCTTTTCTGCGAGTGTCCGCGCTTCAGTGCGCCTAGAAAAAAAAAACTTTCGAAAGTTTTAGACAGAATTTATAATCGCCAATTGTCGGGATAAAGGTTCTTAGGACACTGGCCGAGACTGCCCTCGGCAGGCAAGTGGTTGAGAGCGTTGTTGCGCTTCTTGTGGGAAAATGGTCTCAGAGGCAGGCTAAGCAGTATCGTCGACTGTACTGTAGTTCTTTTTTTCTTTTTTTCTTTTTGCATCTATTTTCTGTCAACTTTTGTTCCCCTTACCCCCAAGCTGATCTGAGAACTGGCTAACTTTCCGGTTCTTTCTTTCCTTTTCCTCAGTACGCGATTGTTTTCGCACATTGCTCAACCCAAATATCGCCGCCGAGTCCGCACGTCGAACGTGTCCTCAGCAGTGCAGCACTCAATATACTAAGCCACCACTGTGTGTCTGCCTTTGAAGTACCCCGCTAGTTCAAGTCGCAAGAATTGAAATCACCAGATACTGGCAGATTAGTATCGTTTAGTTAATGCTGAAAAGTGAATCACTGTAATTGCGATTTGCTGCATGCTCGCGGTAACTGCACGATACCAGCAATATTGCTTTAGTATCGTTTACTCGTGTTAGATTTTAACAGTGATGCTGTTTATGCCATCTGTAATTTTTGCGAGTGGTCTGTAAGAAAGCTATCATAATTAGGGGTGTGTTATTAGTGAATTTCGGAGCCAAATCGAATACGAATTGAAGAGTGACGACACCGAATGGAATATGAATAGTAAAAACACTGTTCGAATAGTTTTTTTTAATAGTAGGTAGACAATTTTCAAAGCAGTCTTGATACACTACATTCTATTTGAAACAAATATTCAGAAACTTCCATAAAAAACGATTAGGTTTTTTTTTAATGAACTCATAATACCCCAACTCGTTAAAGGTAACTAACTGGATTCCCAGAGAAGGAAAGCGGGTTAAGGGGATACAGAAGGTTAGGTGGGCAGATGAGATTAAAAAGTTTGCGGGTATAAATTGGCAGCAGCAAGCACAGGACCGGGTTAACTGGCGGAACATGGGAGAGGCCTTTGTCCTGCAGTGGACGTAGTCAGGCTGCTGCTGATGATGATGATGAATACCCAACTACAAAACTAAAGTAAGCTCGTATACAGCAGGAGCTAAAGCTTTCGTAATACTTTGTAACTGCAGGTTCAAATACAGCCTTCACAACTGTTATCAATGGAACACTTTGTCGCCTATTTTTAAATAAAATTAGCACAAAAATCTAAATAGTTTTCAACCATACACTGCGGATACAACTAAATATGCAATCAATTAGATAAACCCGTCATCACATGGCCGGCGCGCCGAAAGCGTTTAATTCATAATCGTAGACAAATATATGTGCCACAGAAATCGGTGAAATCTCGCTGCTTACCTCTGCTTCACACAATTAAGAAGTGAATAGCTAGCCATGTGTTCTCACGGTGGCGCCCCGACTAACCTCGAGTACTTACGAAAGATTGACGACAATGACGGTGCCCGTATATTGGTGCCAATGCTTGGTTTGAACGGAAGTTTCTGGAATTCGGACATCCGTGTTTGGTTGACTTTCTGCTTTGTTTGAATCTGTCTTTGCTGAAAATAAGCCTAGAAACAATTTATCATCACCTAGCTCGAGTCTGGCAACGACCTAGAAGCAACACTAAACGGCCTGCATTACACAGCCAAAGCCTAGAAGCCACCAAGCGACTAGATCAGTCTTCGGAATCGCCCAGTTTCGTCGTTTCAAGCCTTCTGCAACCGAATGCCAATTTGCATTTTTTTTAAAACCTGAACAACATATTCGTAGAATGGCGCGGTCACGATACATTTTGAATTTTTACTTACCATTAACTGCCACGTAAGCTAAGGTTCTGGCTATATTGAGATTTCCGCTGAGTGACTTGTTGAGCGAGTAGGTTCATTCTTAACGTAGCTTATGGCACGAAAAAAACAAACAAACACGAGAAAAGGGCAAGCGCAAACTACCAACTAAATTTATTCAAAAAAGCGCACACATGTATATACAGGTCAACAAAGTCACAAGTCCTATTAGCAGAAAAAGAAAAAAATACTTTTTAGTGGCAAGCACTCAAGTAATCCATCTCGTTGGCATGCAACGTGATTGAGGGCTTCGCCACGCATGTTTTTTTTTTTCGCGCTATAAGCTACGTTAATAATTGAGATTTTCGTTGTAGACATTTGGCGGTTTCGTTACATCAGCTCTGCCCTTAATTAAGTACCAAGCGAGCTAAAGTTATAGTCATGTTGAGATCTCTATTGTAGATATTTGGCGCTGTTCGTGACGTCGACTCATTATCACAATACTTGGCAATGAATCTTTACCGTCACAAGATTGCTTTATTCAGGCATGTGACACCTTACGGACGTAACACAAGCTGCATAGAAAGGGCTGGTAGGGGGAAAAGAGGTTTTTGCAGGGAAATCACAGTGAATAGCGGCAAAGTTTGAGAGTGGGGTTATTAAAATTTCATTGACAGATGCGACAATATTTTTTTTATTCATGTCACGAACACGATGTTTTTGATCGGAAGGTCGCAATGCCTAGTCTGCAAGTTACCCCAATTTTACTTTGTTAGCTGTTTATAACCACTGTATTCAGGGTCAGTCCTACTGTGCGTAAGGCGCAACTGATTAGGCACGTATTATTAGGCGCGTCAACAACAACAACAACAACAACAACAACAACAACAACAACAACAACAACAACAACAACAACAACAACACAACAACAACAACAACAACAACAACAACAACAGAACGCAATGTCACTGCAACAGGCCTTCACTCTACTAACGCCGTAGCCTAGCAACACAACAGTGTCATGGCAGGCAAACTAAACACATTATATTGGGAATGCAAGGGACCATTTGCCAAGCGAGGCATGCGGTTGTCAGCAACAGAGAGCAGTTTGCTTTCCATCGAAAGTCTGCACCTGCGAATGACAGGATTCGCTTGATTCGAGTGCGCTTAAAAGAGATGAAATCAAGCGCACAGGAAAATCACCACGAAGACAATTGGGGCAACGCGCAGTTCAGTGAATTTTTGTGTCCTAATAAGGGAGCATTCAGCTCGTTTAATTTGTTTTTATTTACTCTATCAAAAGGGTTTGTACATGTCTACAATAATCGCTATGTGCCTTTCTTCCATGTTGACAAATTTTTAAATCGTAGTAGAAGCGAGCTAAAGGTATGAGTTTGCTTATTTACGTCTTGCAATTTAATACTGCTGCTACGTATTTCAATCCCATTCCTTGGCACTTTAAGAACATAGGTTTTCAGCCCAGAGGTATAGTTAATGTTCAATATAGACATAGCGGTACAGCCTTTTAGACGATACGTTAAACTCTACGTTTAGTTCTCCGCATTAGGGCATACGCGTTATAGGAGACACATTTGCAACAGGTTTCATATAGAGGTCACATTTTGTAACTGCTTGGAAACAGCTCTGCAATATTGTGCGGAAGTCAGGGCTGGGAACTTCGTCAACGTATGAATACAATGCATGCCTATTAAAGTCACACTGCGAGATGGAACGGTATATGAAAATGCACTTGCTACGATGTTTATGTGTCGCATGTGCATACAAGCTAACCTCCGAAACTTTAACTCTGAAAGGCGATAGTGTCAAAGCTATTTTATGATTACTGCATTCGCACCAGTGTTGAAATTCATGCTACACGGAATTCACTATTTCAAATCACAGTTTATAGGTTTACGTTGGTTGACACAAGTGAGTGTACTAGTGGAGAAAACATACTTTATCGGCTTCCTTGAAAAGTAATCAGCGCTTCGCTTATTCCGGATATAAAAAGAAAGGTCCATTCTAAAAAGGCTCATCGATACATGGCTTTACATCCAGAGTCAGAGGAAGTGTCAGATGAAGACTGACTAGACCAGTCATCGGCACACGATGCTCTCGATGGCCAAAAGTGTCTGGCTTTCGGTTTCTGGCGTTACAAGCGCAGCCATCATGGCTCCGGCCACCAGGACGAGACCTGGTGCGAGCCCTTGGCTACTCGACGCTACCGCGCTAAGCCAGGCATCTTCGTGCATCAAAAGGAAGGCGAGGAACCAGCGGCCGGCCCACGAGCTCCCCGCTCCTACGCAGCGCACGTGACCCGGAAGCAGCTCGGTGGCCAGCAGCGCGGGCACGTGACCCAGTCCCAGGGAGTAGCTGGCTAGCAGCAGGCTGATGGCGTAGATGCCATTCCAGTCGGTGAGCCTGGGACGATCCTCTACTGTCCAGTGGCTGCACTCGTTATTAAAGCGAATGAATGCCTTAGATGCCTCATCAAACACAATAATAGACTGAGTGATGCAAAACAGTAAATAATCTGACGATTACGTCACAATGTGACGTCGTTATGGTGTTACAGATTGCCAATATTGGTTGCGTCGTGACATTTCTACGATGTCCTAGAGCGGGACGTCATACAATGGCGTGATCACATGACGTCGCTTGGTCAAAGCGGGTTAGATCACCGAGGCAGCCCGAAACCAGATAAGGGGCAGAAAGCTTCTATTGCCTCCACTTCTGGGGGCTGTGTAAAAACCATGTGAAGTGCAGGCGGCCTTCAGAAGAGGAAAAACTGAGTCAGTTCAGAGAATGAAAAGAAAAGTGTAAGATGGCTTCCGCCTTCAAGTGGTCTTAAGCGAATGCGTAAAAAACCATGAGAGGATTTTTTCGTTTGCTTGAATCAAGCAGTTGAATGCTCGTATCGCAATGAATTTTGATTACTGCGGAAAAATAGCCAAGGTGCGTTGATTGGAGCGTAGATTGGCAAGATGTCCGAACTCATGAAGTTGAGGGTTGCCTGTACTCTAACTGGGGTACACCCATGGCGAATGGTATAAGGAAATTAATTTCCACGGTAACAATAGCTGCCCTGCACGTCATTCCTTTTGGTCATGTTTCATTACCTCGTCATTCATGTGCAATGCGTCATGCACGTCCTCATCTCGTAGTTTACCAGTCTGCAAATTTTCAAGTGGTCATTCCCAAGCCTCCTGGTATTCACTGCTCTTCGAACATAGGTATGTGTTCATCTTCCTTTCGGTGAGACTTAAGCGAGTCGCTGCTTGTCTCGTGCTAGGCACATTAATTCGACACGTCCCACTTACAGTGCGACGCGAACAGTTGCTTTATGTTAAGTACAAAAGGAGAGGCGTCAACCTGAATACGGCGTGCTTGAGTGGGCTGAGTGCGACCATGCAGACGGCAGTGATGAACGCGGACAGCACCAGAAGGTGTCGCCGTCCGGCGATTCTGGTGAGTGAGGCGAAAACTCCGGACAGCGCGACATGGCCAGCCACCATCAGCACGCCCTCTGCGTCCCGTGATTCCGTTTCTGCCACCAGCGACAGCATCACCTGATCACCGCGCATCAGGAAAAGCCGAACGCCGGACAGCTCGGGAAGGAGTTGCAGGAGCAACGCCAAGGCCATAGACCTGATATAAAAAATCATTCCACTCTGTCAAGCAGGATGGCCTGCGAAGCGAAGCGATTCCGCAGATGGTGTAGAACTGGCTCGGCGAGGGCTGTTTTGGTATGAAAGGCCTTGATGAAAAACATGTTCAAGCCAGTACGCAGGGTCTAACGCAGCACATCGTTGACGACGAAGGTACCGAGACTATGAGTATGCATCAGTGCCATAACAACGTGGCAAAAACAGATTACAAACTCCAATTTTGTGTGCACCCGTCAGAGAACCCAAGCAAATTGCTCGCAAAACATTTAGCTAGAGGTTATATAGGGTGCCACATTCATCATCATCATCATCACACGCCTGTACATGCCCGCTAAAGGACAAAGGCCTCTCCAATAATCCGCCAATCAACTCGGTCTTGTGCTTTCTGCTGCCACGTTATACCTCCGAACTTTTTAATCTCATCGGTCCACCTAACCTTCTGTCTCCCCCTCACGCATTTGCATTCTCTTGGAACCTCAGCCAGTTACACTTAATGACCAGTGGTTATCCTGCCTATGTGGTACGTGCCCGGCCCATATCCATTTTTTTTCGTTTTGATTTGAAGTACAGATGTCCCATGTCCCCGTTTGCTTCCTGACCAAATCTGCTATTTTTCTGCCTGTCAAGGTGGTACCTATCATTTTCCTCTCCATCGCAAGTTGCGCCGCCCTCAACTTATTATGAACCCTATTTGCCATCCTCCAGGTTTCTGTTCCGTAGCTAAGTAACTGCAGGATGCAGCTGTTATATACCTGCCTCTTCAAGGATAGTGGCAGTGTACCACAGTCATGATTTCACAATGCTCACCGAATGTGCTCCATGCTACCCTTATTGCCTTGGTAATAACTTTCATGGTTCGGCTCCGCAGTGACTACCTGTCCTAAGTAGACGTATTTCTTTACAAATTCCAATGTCTTGCAACCTATCGCAAAGCGCTATATTTTGCCGACACTGTTTCAAATTACTTTTGTTTTGTGCATATTCATTTACAGACCTTCTTTACTGCACTCCGTATCAAGTGCAGCAATCATGAGCTGTAATTCGTCCCCTGAGTTACTCATCAAAGCAATGTCATCAGCAAATTGCAGGTTACTAAGGCACTCTTCATTAACTCTTATCGTTAACTGTTCACAATCTAGGCTCCTGAAAACCTCAAACCTCATGTGAACAAGCGGTGAATAGCATTCGAGAGATCGTGTCTCCCGCCTCACACCATTATTTCTTGGGATTCTGTCGCTCTCTTGATGGAGGACTGGGGTGACTGTAGATGCGCTGTAGATTTCTTTCAGTATGTTTACACAGGCTACGTCGATTCCCCGATTCCGCAGTGCGTTCAGGACTACTGGTATATCCAGCAACTTAAATGCCTTCGCAGAATCTATATTGGCTATGTATAGGGGTTGGTTGCATTTTCACGTAAATTTTTTTCCCGTAAAAGTTGACTTGTTATATCAGATTGTTGTTTGACTTTCGTGGTCTTGTACGGCTTTTTTTTTTTCGTGCTGTTTTTATTCATTGTGAACTACCAACTTCCCCGACAGTCTATTCTTTTAAGTCGACTCAGAGCCAAAATCTACGTGCGCATCTACATTTTCCCTGCTTGCGATTTGATGAAGTAGAGTAAATACTTGGCATGAAAATTTATGTCCTACACTCTAAACTCTGGTAGATGCGATTTCGTGCACCTGAAGTATGGATTGCCAAGTGTTTACATTCTTAACTTGGTAACGCTTATAGGGACACACAATGATATCTATGCGTTATGAAGTTATGAGTGTAGCAGCTGCTGAAAAAAATAAATATTAGAACAATTCTTTTGGAGGCTTACTTTGCGCACTTGATGGGCGTGGCATTGGAGTTCTTTTTGGCAATATCATCAGCTGATCGTATCCTGAACTCGATGGGAACGTCGAGGCCATAAAATTTAAACAACGCGGCCCGGGCTTCAGCCTTTTTTCCGTGGCGCATTAGCCACTGGGGGCTGTCCAGGACGTAGCGTTGCATGCACATCAGTACCAGGGGCGGCAACATGCAGAAGCCTGCCTGTATCTCCCACGTAAAAAATTGGCCCAGCACGTAGGCTAGCAGCATCCCAGCACATCCGGCCACCTATCGGGGATGAAAGCGAAGAAAAGTTCGAGGCTGAGGAAGGTTTTCATACCAACACGTTGACTACTTCATATTCTAATCGTTAATGACGAAAGATGAGGAACGTTCTTTTTTTCGAGTTACTAAATCATTCGCTGCTTCATTTCTGAGCACACAGAAACTGGAGTGGCCTCTTTCACGGCGTCACTTCTGTCGCCCGCCTATCGAGCTAGTAATAAAAAGTTACAGCGATCACTGTGACAGTTTTATAAATTGTGTGAGAACTCAACCTTCGTGCAGTAACACTTCGGTTCCTACATAAAAATAAAAAAATACGTAAAATAAAAACATATAAACCTGAATCAATCAAATTAACTATGCCAAAGTATATCCACTTCTCCAGCGGTTATTTTCCGTTATCATAATGCGCTCTTTATATAGTAAACGTGTATAAGATGAAATCGTTTCACATCATGAAGATGGGTACATTATATGATCATACGCAGCAAGATATCTTAGTGGTTAACGTGCTGCGCTCCAGAACACGACGTCGTGGTTAATATTACCGGCAACATGCGGCCGCATTTTCATTTGGGCAAGGTGCAAAGGCACCCACATAACTTAGATATATGCGCATGAGAAATAAATTCAGCAGGCCAAAATCAATCCGCAGCTCATTACTACTCATTGTTTATCGTAATTTTTGCATGTAAAACCGTCGATGTGTTGTTCAGCGAACGTAGGCGTGCGCACTGGAGAGGGCAAAAGAGGCGCAAAACCAGGCTCATACATTCACATAATTATGAGGAGTGGTCACTGCCACTTGGGGAAGGGTGCATAGTCGGCCGATACATTCGAATAATTAGGGGGGGGGGAAGCACGCTGAGGCGAACCTTCACCCCATCTGAAGGGGAACCCAGTGCACGCCTACGGCATTGAACACTTAATACGGCGGTTTAGCAAGATAGTGTTTGTTACTCATTTAAAAAATATCAGGTGGCTACAAAAACATACGCGACAAAGTACGCGCGTAACGGTTTAGCCAGAATAAGCGACAGGTTGTCCTGATTTATATATCAATGAAAAGAACAAAAATTCCAGCTTTGCCGCAAAGATGAAGCAATGTTTACGATAGCAACAAATTGGAATGTCCCGCGAAGAATGGCAAGCAGATCACAACAACGTGCACCGCATTGCTCACGCACAAATAACACAGTAAACGCACTCACAGGTACAAATGAATGCGAACACGTGTCTCAGTTGTTACTTCGCTATGTCTGAAAAGCGCGCTCTTTTTCACGAAAGGAGACTGTGCAGCGAGTGCAGTGACCTTTGTGCGTCCGGTAACTACAACACAATCGTTCCGGTGAAAGCCCAAGGCCATGTTGTAAGATACAGACAATTTCAAACAATTGGCCAAAGGCGTACGATTCTCCCCAGCGTGAGATAAGCGCGCACACGTGCGAGCGTCTAACCTCCCCCCCCCCCCCCCCCTGTCCTTCGCGGGGCCAGGTACGCGTGGGAGATGCCCGCATGAGAGCGCATCGCCACGTCGTGACTAGCAGGGCGCCGGGCTACGCCGAGGGCACTCACTGGTAATGCTTTTAATGAAAACACGCTGATATTTCTTCCGACCAAACAGCTGAACGTTGAAGCACGCGCGACTTCGTGACTTAGTGGCTAACCACGCACGCTCCGAATCGAGAGGTAGAATGTTCGATACCGCGCGCCGGAATGTATTTTTCTGAATTATCTTTTTTGTTCCTTTTCTATATAAATACCTTTAAATATACGGTGTATGACGGGTAGCAACTGACGCTGGCGGCGAAAATCAACTGAAAGCGTCGATAAGATTACTATCGCAATGAAAACACGCACTTTCAATCGCGGCTTCTAAATCATTCAATTTCAGGAAGTAACTCGATCTGGCTCACAAAAGGCCCGTATTCAAGCTTAACGATAGAGTTATGTGAATTTACTGGCCTCTTAAGGTCGTACACCGGCTTTTACCACGTAAGGTGAAAAATGCCAAAGTGCGTTCCGAGGCTCACTTTGCGCACAGGTGACGCATCTAACTGGCCAGCCGAACTTCGTGATTCACCTCGACAAATCCCAGGAAGAATGCTCGGCGTTCGCTGGGGCAAATCTCGGCAACGTGAACGCCGGCTGAGCTGGAGATGGCGCCAAGAAAAACGCCGGCCATGAGGCGCGCCACGAGAATCGCCGACGTGCCGGTCGAGAGGAGCAGGCTCAGCCAGCTGCCCAGCAGGCCGAAAGTGGACAGCAGCAGCATCAGCCGGTTACCTAGCATTTCCAGCAAGAAGCCTGCAGCGTGGTGCGTCCATAGATCAACCAGGGCCCCAGAAGAACCTCCGATAATATTTTTTAACGTTCACAGTAATTACGCTAATGCAGTTCAAAATGCCGTCGCAATCAGCAATTTTATTTATTTATTTATTTATTTATTTATTTATCACATACTGCGGACCAAGTATGGTCCATGCAGGAGAGGGCAATACAGTACAAAATTCTTCTACATACATACACTTCCGCTGCAGTATACATTCACTGCAGAACAAATTCATGTACATTAAAAACTCGTGAAAAACAAGGGACAAATACAGGCAAAGAAGCAGACTTAAGCAACAAAAAAGGGTATAGTTTCATCTCGGCGTGTTGAGCATAGGGGAATCATGGGGCAGAGCATTCCAATCAGAGACAGTTCTCGGGAAAAATGAATACTTGTAAATGTTAGTGCGTGCAAATATAGGTGTAATGCTACGACTATGTTTATGACGTGAAGACCTGGTTGTGTCCTGTGTTATGTAATCTGGTGCGTGCAATCCTGATCTGGAAAAGTATAAAAGGCGGAAAAAGTTAAGCCGTGCAGTTTTCCTTCGATCGGCCAAAAGTTGGAGGTTCGCATCCTGCAACAGGGCTGACGGCGAATCGCGACATCTATACCGGTTGTATATAAATCGAGCAGCTAATCGTTGTATTTTTTCTATTTTCTGTATATTACCAGCTGTGTGGGGGTCCCACACAATGCTGGCATATTCAAGAGAAGGACGAACTATGACTTTATAGGCTCTAAGTTTTAGTGAACTAGAAGAACGACCCAATTTATATTTTAGAAAGCCTAATTTTCTCCTGGCAGCAGAACATATATCATCAATATGTGCTGTCCAGGTAAGCTTCGATGTAATCGTTACGCCCAAGTACTTGAATTCTTCTACTTGCCTGATAGCGTGTCCACCTACATTATAAGTAAACTCCAGTTTTCGGATTTTGTTACTCAGACATAAATATACAGTTTTCTCAAAATTAATTACCATTTCCCACTTTTTACACCATTCTTTTATGTAGATTAAGTTCTCACACAAGTCATGCTGGTCAGAGATAGAATTTATGGTATTAAAAATTATGCAATCGTCTGCAAATAACTTAACAGACACGCCAGGTCGGATGGCTTGAACTAAATCGTTAATATAAATATTAAATAGTATAGGCCCGAGAACTGACCCTTGCGGGACTCCAGATAACACCCCCAAATACCCAGAGGTGAAACCGTTTATATCTACGTACTGTTTTCTGTTCGTTAAGTATGCTATGACCCAGTTAATTATTTCCGGAGGAATGCCAATAACCTTCATCTTATCTATTAGCTTGATATGCGGGACCTTGTCAAAGGCCTTGGAAAAGTCCATAAAGATGACATCAACCTGTCCAGACTTGTCCAGAACTTTGGAGAACTCGTTAACAGTTGCTAATAATTGTGTGGTGGTAGATAATCCCCGTCGGAAGCCATGTTGCGCGCTGTGAATTACTTTATTTTGTTCAAGAAAAGTATTTAAATATTTCGCTATAATATGTTCAAGTAATTTGCAACAAATACAGGTAAGGGAGATTGGTCGATAATTACTGACTAATAATCTGTTACCTTTCTTAAATACCGGAATTACACGTGCTAGCAGCCAATCGTCGGGCACTGAACTAGTTTTAATCGAAACATCAAATATTATTACTAGGAATCTAGCTATAATTTCAGCATACCTCTTTAGAAAAACAGCTGGGATACCGTCAGGGCCGGTCGATTTTTTTACGTCTAGCCGCAATAATAGTTCTGTCACCCCTTCCAAGGATATATTTATTAGGCTTGAAGGACCTGGCACCGTCATAATACTCAAGTTTTGTGGTCTTGAGAAAACGCTCTGAAAGTAGGAATTAAATGCGTTTGCTATTTCGTTTTATTTGTGACAGTGGTTTCTCCGTTCATTATTTCATCAGGGATACGGTTGTCTTTGTTTTGCAAGAACTGGTAAAATTTTCGTGGACTCTCTGCCGCAAAGCGGCCTAGTGTCTCGGTGTAATAATGTTCCCTAGCCTCCTTCAACTTGGATGCTAAAGTATCTCTTAGATCGTGCAGAACTACATCATTAGCTATTTTTTGCTTTCTACGCCTTTTAATTTTGCGTTTTAGGTGAATTAGATCGCGCGTTATCCAGGGGTTTGTACGGCCAACTTTTTTAAGTTTATCTGGAACGAAATTGCGAATGCAGAAGTGGCAATAAAATTTGAATTGTGTCCATAGCGAGTTAACACTGCCGTCGCAAAATGATAGCAAAGCTTCTTCTAGGTAGTGAACAATCTGGAAATCGTCTGCAGCAGAATACTGTTTTACAACTACGGGCTCAGGTCTAGATGACCTTGTTCTACGAGGTAAAGAACAATTGAAATTGACCAATTTGTGATCAGAAATGCCATCTAAAACTGTTGCCATACAGGATTCAAAACTTGAGGAACAAAAACGAGATCTAGTATTGAAGAAGCTGAACTTGTCACGCGCGTAGGATCAAGAACTGTTTGCGTAAGGGAGTAAGCAAGCGACATGTCTAGTAATATTTCAGCACTCTGTACATCAATAGAACCACATTTCATCGATTCCCAATGTATGCCTGGCATATTAAAATCACCTGCAATAATAATGTTTTGATTTCGGTATTTTTCTAAGTGCTCGTACAGGTCTATCAAGAAAGCCGGTGGGGCGCCAGGGGGCCTATAGACTCCCGCAATAATAATAGGGTTACCAGCAATTACAGCTTTACAAAAAACACTTTCGTGGCAGCTATTAATATCAGGCAAGGAAACGGACGATACCTCGCGTTTAACAAGGATAGCAACTCCGCCCCCTCTTGTTTGACGATCTTTCCGATAACATGTGTGTGAAGGAGGAAATATGCAATTATCTGGAATTTGAGGGTGCAACCATGTCTCCGATATTACTGCTACGTGTGGGTCGTAAGAAAGCAAAAGGTGCTCGAGTTGCTCTTGCTTGTTGCATACACTTTGTGCATTCAGGCACAGCAATCGGAAAGCCTTTTGCGCATGCTCAGTTTTATTTTGGGTATGTCATTTTTCCGCGCGGGAAGACTTACGTAGAAACACCCTGCGACCAGCTGTGTCGTCCCACCCATAAACGTTATCGTTTAGAAACAACTTGTCATGCACCAATTGCATCTTATCACCAGTACGCTTGTCCTGTAATCCAGATTGCCACAACTTATTTCTTATGCGCTGTGTGGCTTGAGAATAATCGTGGGAGATCGACACTTCAGAACCTTTGAGCTTTGGGCAGTTCCTGAACAATTCCATTTTTTCGTTGTAGTCGTACAGCCGGAGGATAACTGGCCTGTGGCGGTCTTTTTGCAGCCTTCCTATTCGGTGAATTCGTTCTACAGACCTGACGGAAACACCAAGTGTTTCGCCGAAAACCTTACGCAAAACCTTATCCTCTAGATCCTGCCTAGTTTCTTTTGGTTCCTCAGGAATTCCGAAGACGACTACATTGTTTCTGCGTGAACGATTTTCATAATCATTCAGTCTCCGGTCCTGCTCAGCCAAAGCCTTCTTCAACCGCTGTACTGTTCCTTCCAGCTTCTGTATCTTTTCTTCATTTTCCTTCGATATTTTCAGAACCTCGTCTAGTTTTGACAGCTTCGCATTTACCTCAGAAAGTGTGGCATCGCGCTTTGTGTCCGCTTCCTTTAGCTCTTTTAACTGAAGCATAATATCCTTCAACATTTGTTTTATCTCGGGACCAGGGTTACTTTCCACATCGCCACATAAAAGGAGCAGAAAAACAGACCAGCAATCTATGACAACATGAATACATCTTTGAGGGCACGGCAGCACTATAACAGTGTATGAACTTGAACGAAATCCAGAAAGCGTGTTGTAAAAACTGACCTGCACAACAAGCCAAGCAGAATCAAACATGCTGCTCCGACGAGTGCCGCCGTGCCCTCTGAGAGGACAGGGCTCGACCGGAGACTTTATATCCTGTATGGTCGACGTCACCGAGTTGTGCAGCCAATTCGGTGTCCCGTCCGCTGAGTCGATGAAAAGATGATCAGTCCGTGCAGGCGTTTTCCACTTGTGCGATAAATCGGCAGTCCACAGCGCAGGCCCAGAATGAGCGGGTTGTTCGGCACATGGCAGCGGTCGGATCAAAAATACAACCTGCACAACAAGCCAAGCAGAATCAAACATGCTGCTCCGACGAGTGCCGCCGTGCCCTCTGAGAGGACAGGGCTCGACCGGAGACTTTATATCCTGTATGGTCGACGTCACCGAGTTGTGCAGCCAATTCGGTGTCCCGTCCGCTGAGTCGATGAAAAGATGATCAGTCCGTGCAGGCGTTTTCCACTTGTGCGATAAATCGGCAGTCCACAGCGCAGGCCCAGAATGAGCGGGTTGTTCGGCACATGGCAGCGGTCGGATCAAAAATACAACCTGCACAACAAGCCAAGCAGAATCAAACATGCTGCTCCGACGAGTGCCGCCGTGCCCACGTTGGCAATAACCAACGTGGAAGCGCTACGTGCCGCCAGCGTGCCACAAGAGGTAACGATCTCGTGCTCCTCTCAGGGCTTTCTTGGTAGCGTCAGCGTTAGGAGGAAGGTCACCAGTAGAAGGTGTAGACGGCGTCATCACACAAACATGTTCGTAGGCAAGCAAGTACTCATGCACCAAACTATTAGGGAAGAGCAGACAAGAGACAATACAGCGAGCTTAGTGTGGAGGAAGGAGCCGCACGAGTTAAGGCCGCGTTTCGATCACGGTGTAAAATACAAACATCTTACGCCGTGGTTTCGATCATCAAACGCGTCTCATCCCACTAATACGGCAGCCTTTCCAAAAAAAATTCTTGTAGCTACATGTTCATTTTAGACTCGTGCAGAACGGGAACACCACTATTTTATTTCGAACGCTAGGTGTTTTAGGGAACCTTGAAGGACTGCGTGAAAGATGCCAAAAATTCTTGCCTGCTTCGCAAAAACTGGAGTTATAAGCTGAACTCTGACAACTAATGGTATTTGCAGGAACGATGCCGTCTGCAACGACTCTCCCTAGGTCTGCCTTGCACATCTGGGTACAGCCTGAATGATGAATTGTCAGTCAGTGTCTGCCACGTATCAAATTTTATTTCTCTGTCCCAGAGTTCCAAACTACTTTTGATGTTATCAGATTGTATACAACTGCCAACTTTGCGTAATTTCGCTTGAAAATGATGCTTGCGAGTAGTTTAATTTAGCGCATTCTTAATGCCCATCTACTGTGTATTGCATTTGCGAAGTAGAGACAAGTCAAACTTCTGCTTTTGCCGTAGCCCCTATAGTATCACTGCGCTGCTTCACCGCGGTACTTGCAGCTCTAGCTGTTGATAATAGCAACGCTGTTCTACCATGCGGTACGGCCACTGACCTGCTCCGAGTGCTGCGGGTGCCGCCACTAGCAGCAGGATGTCAGCGAACCAGCGGCTTTCAGCCGTGTTGTGGTGCAGATCGTACCAGGCCTCGTGTTCGATGGAAGGCATAGCCGCCGACGCGTAGCCCAGTGTGGTGCCGGCTGCGCAAGACCCAAGGCAGGCGACTAACGCACACACGACGTGGTGCCCGCTGGTCGCCAGCTCGGTGACCGTGCTACCAGAGGCTGGCGTGCCGCCGCGAACCGAGGGCTGCCAGTTACGGAGGGCCTCGATAGCCTTCTGGCCTGGCTGCTGTTCGCTCGACATGTCGGCCGACGGCCGCCGACCTCGCTGGTCGGAGGCTGGAGGCCTGCAAAGCCATTAGGGCATTGATTATAGCAGAGCTGTTGTGCCCGCCGTTTGTCCTATACTCGCGTTGCAGACAAGAAGCTATCATCGTCATGTCGGCGCTAGCTCGACCTGTCTTCTGGTTCTCTCCCCGAGCACGTGCGCACGATGAGCTCTCTTCTCTGCGTCGATTTGTCCGGCATGAGACGCAGTGACTGGGATGGGCAATAGAACGAGTGCAGAGGGAGAGAGAGAGAGAGAAAGAGGCAAAAGGAAAGACAAAGAGAAAGAGCAGAAAAAATTGGAAAGACAAAAAGAAAGATAGACAGAAAGAAATAGGGAGATGAAGACGTAGAAAGAAACATACACGAAAAAAGCAACAAAAAGAGGAAAAAATAACCAAATAAAGAGAAAGAAACAGGAAGCGAGAAATAGGCAGAGAAAGAGAGAGAAAGAGAAGAAATAGAAAAGAGAAGTTAGAAAGGTATACAGAGACAAAAAGAAAAAGATAAATAGAAAAATAAATATAAAGAAACATACACTCAGTCAAACCAGATAAAAATCTTGCCAATACTTTTGATTCACAAGTCGATCCTGTGGACTCGGTGTGACTCGGAGTGTCACTGCACATGTGGCTAGTCTAGCCAGGACCAACCGAGCGCTGACAAATTCTGCTGTGTCTCAGCCTTGGCCGACTCCGTGCCAGTTGCGCAAACTTTCTCTTATTGCATTGACTCATTTTATTTTATGAATTGTTTCTTCATTTCGCTTTCCCTTTAAGTTGCGGAAAGATATGAGATGTCTATGACACTTGTCGCCCCCGTTCCAATTTCCGCAGAAGCCAGAAAATACAAGTATGTTGCGTAAAGTGCTGTTCTGGGTACGGCGTTTCGGATTTATGAGATTTTTTTTTGTGTTCAGCAGTAATTACTAGAGAAAGGGAACTCTGTGTTGTTAAGTTAGGTCATGAAAATGGCTTGCAGGTTTCGCTCATACATTCGATGTACATCTGATTACGATTAGCAGATGGACTTCGCATTTGTAGCCTTCTTGCGTCTGCATTTTGTGACGCTTTCGTCTACCGTTACTATCGCGAAACTTTGAAAGCATCTCTCTTTAAGAAGGCGAGAACATTTTGAGGCTGTGCCGAACAATTTTTGTACCTATATACCAACGTAACGTTAAAAACTACCTTGCAGTATCTCATAGCGAAAAATCTACCTGAACCAAGAAAAAGAAAAGACCTAGGTCACAAATAATACTGACGATTACTAACGCGCTGGCTGAAGTGTTGCATCTGCAGCTGCGTACGCTCTAATGCCATAGATTTGTGCAAAATCTGTTCTAATAAATTTTATGTGCCACTGGAACAGCTGCGAACCATTTCGCTGTAAGAAAATTTTAACTGTTAACAATAATACTTGGCGCCTTGCATCTCAAAACCACTACATGATTATGAGGAACGCTCTAGTAAAGCGCTCTTGCGATTTGGTGTTCTTTCTGGTGTTATTTAACGTGAACTCACACCGCGAAGTACATGGGACTTTTATTTCGGCTCCATCGAAATGTGACCACCGCGGCCGGTATCAAAACCGCGTCCTTCACTCCAGCAGCCACGCACCATAAACACTAATCCACCGTGGTGGACCACAACTACACCGCTGCCCCACAACGTGCTATATTCCAGCACCTGCATACGTCGCCGTAACGCGATATTTTCTACAGTATAGACCCATTCCATGTTTGCAAACACAGGTAGGCTCATGTCGACATTATGAGTAAATTATAGCGACGTCCACACATAACACCCGCCTTTGGCGCTGAGGGCTACGATGTGCGCCAACAAACAAAACTAAGTTGACGCGACTCACATCCAACCGCGACGCAGTTCGTTGGCATACCGTTTTTTTTTTTGCTCGTTGCTTGACTGAGAACACCACATGCACCATTGAAAACCCAGCATAAACTGCGGTAGGCAGAGCGTCTTTTGCCTTCCAAAACAGCGCCACCGCATTTTTGTGACGTAAGTCCGGTGAAATTTGTCTATATAGAGACGCTGGGATATAACTTATTATTTGGTACTTATAAAAGCTAATTTTATAACCGACGCGGATATAAAAAAACTGATAATTTAGGGTGGACCCTCGGGTCTCAAAGACCGAGGTCTTGCAGGTTGTGCAAGTGGAGGATGTCAACTATCGCGTATTTCGGTGAGAGCTGATAGCATGGCTATATCGATCAGTGTTAGGCGTCCATCGAAGGGTGAAGCAAGAAAGAGGGGATGACGCTCACATCGCACGTGTTTCCTCGGACGTCGCTATGATGAGGTCCTCCGAATCACAGTGAGGAAGTAGCCGTAGCAGATGTTTGAAGATTAACCACGATGAAATCCTTTCCTAGTTCTTGTTCGTCTGTCGTCCTTCTCTTCTTCGCCCTAAAACACGCACGTGGCATGAGTCTGATACACGTGGGCTCGATATATGATGATCACTGATGATGATGATGATGATGATGATGATGAATCAACAGCCATGGCTCGTACCTATGGCTGCTACGATTACTTTCTTTGAATCTCGCAAACCCACAATGAGGCATGGTTCATGACCAAGAAGGCACATTTTAAGGCGTGCAAAAAATATGGCTAAATGAGGTAAATAAACAATTAAATATAGTGTGAATGAAACTAAGCTTATTAAGTACAATAAAGTGTAAAGGCATTTAGTCGGCGTTGCATAAAAGTGAGTAAAGAAATAATAACAAATATTCAAGCTGGAATTGAAAGATACCTTAAAAAACAACAATAGTGTTTAGAGGAACAATTCATGAGACTTTTATTGCTATAGTGTTCAAAGTGTACAATGAATGTTTCACGAAGGGCGGTAAGGTCACTTAATCAAGCAAAAATGACTCACTTGTATAACGGTTTCATATTAAATTAACAGACAGTATTGCCTTATTGGCATGACTGGTAAAGGAGACCGTGGTCAGACGTTTCTGTCATTTTTTTTGCGAATTCCGTGAATTCGAGGAAGTATAAGACAGTAGTGCATAAGGGCAGGCCGCTCGTAAGCTCGCAACAGAGTTTTACCGCAATATATGCAAACTTAATTGGGTGTTTTGTTTCTCGTCCTGCAGCGTTCATTTGGGCCAACAAGAGTGTTATTGCTTGAATAATTCGTTACTTGTTTTTTTTTTCACTATCTATGAGTTATAGCTTTTTTTAGCATACCAAAAGCCTCACTATAGTTTATGTATATGCCATGCTTTAGGGGCTGAAATGCAAGTCGCAATTCTTCAAAGTTACAGTATTGAAAATCGTACGTGTTATTTGTATAGCGCACTCAAAAGTCTCAGAAGAAGGCTGATTGCCAGCAGTGTTCATCCTAGAAGCCACCTGGTGGCGACACAGGACAGAGATGATTGGAGCGTACGTCTTTTATGCATGCTCTGTTTGGCATATCTACAAATATTATATATCCAGAGACTAACACCAACTGTTAGGCATTACCTCTATACGACACTAGCTGCATGAACAAAAAGAAAAAAAATGTGACATCAGACATTATAACCGTGCCAGCAGTCCTTGCTTCATGGTAGTGACGCACTGCATATGTGCAGTATGTCAGCTGAACGAAGTTTTTATTTTTTGTTTTTTTGTTTTTAACAGGAAAGTCTTATCACCTGTCGGGCTGCAATGTCAACTTTTTTTTTTTTTTTGCACACGTGTGGAGTAGGTAGGCACGTGTAGCAGCCTAGAAAAGCTGAAAGCGCTTTTGGCGTTCGCAGGGGTTTTCAAGGTGTCCACTAGTACACGTAGTGGTCATTATGTGGGCCAAGTGAATTTGCATTTTGAGTGTGTTTGCGCGCAAGAATTCAATGATGCACGTGAAGGAGGCGAAGGACATTGTGAAAGCAAGAACGAAAACACCGCTGTATCGGTCTGTTTCAATGGAAAAACGGTAAGCGAAGCAAAGCGAGAGCATCGCTATAACATCTACTAACCGTTTAGACATTTTGTCGCAAGAATAATTTCGATTATTGAACGAAACACCTCAAAGAAATATTGCGAAAACGCTGTCTCTTTAAGTAAAGTTGGACAGCTACTGAAAGAGAGAAAGTCTTTCAGCTTAACACAATTTGGGCTTCATACAATTTTGCAAATAACCTTCCTCGAAACGACTATTTCAGCCACTGTTTCGTTTCGTTTCATCGTGCTAAAGTTCTCACTATTTTAGTGCCGGGATAATTATTACTTTAACTCGCGAAGAAGTGGTTTGTAGTGTACGTGTCAGCCGCTACCGGTCGTATACACACTTCTGTTCTGACGCATTCATGCTCTATGGCGTTCTGAACTATATAGTTCGGTGTAACATTTTTCAGCTCGAATTTCAGCAACTCCAACAGCAGTAGGTCACTCTGTAAGTGAAGCGTATGCAAGTGGCCGGGCAATTATAACTAAAGGCATTTCGCTATGCTGTTTTATAGACTAAATGTTTTTTTGAATAGCCGAGTATGGGTTTGTCTTATCAGACGTAGTCCTACCCAGCGTATAATCTTATGCCGTTAGGGAGTTCCTGTGTTCTTTGTTAGTTCTTTATAGGAGAATCTAAATATTACAGCCTATTTAGAACAAGACTGCGATTCGGAACTTTACCCATTCTCAATACACCAAGCCATGTCCACGGTAATATATAATATTAGAAAAAAATATGCCTTCGTGAAAAGCAGTTTTTTTTTATTTTGCACATGTTCCTGCTACCACTATATAACTTATAACTTAAAGCTTTAAAGCTGGGACGTTTTTGCAAAGTTTAATTACTGAGCGAAAAAAATTGCCCGCAGCTTCCCTCGGGGGAACACTGAGGAGGATGCGGACCATATAATTGGTTAACGGGGTGTTAAAGTGCGACTTACTTGGGTCGATGGCTAAATTGGTTAACGTGGTTGTGAAATGGGGTGTTAAATTGCGACTTACTTGGGTCGATGGCTAAATTGGTTAACGTGGTTGTAGGAGGGGGTGTTAAATGAGTGAACACGTACACACGTATGCGAAAGGGCGGCGCTGGTCGAAGGGACGTCGATCATTGTGTTTGTGGATTCGTTGGAATTCATTTCACCGCTACCTTGGAGGTCGACGCGCCGTACAAACCAACCGACGAGCGGCAACTGAGCGAGCGAGCGCCGACCTTGAGTATATATACAGCACGACGGCGCATGCACTGTCAGCTGTTGAATGTTCTCGAAGCGCGACGCCACATGCGCGTCCACTGGAGAATCAGGAGAATTGTAGATGTCGAACGCGGTGTGTAGAGGAGGAAGGGTGCACAGATGGTGGAGGAGTGAAGCGCGCGCGGTGTGTAGAGGAGGAAGGGATGCACAGATGGTGGAAGAGTGGGCGACGGCGCGACGGCGCATGCGCGCGCGTCAGCTGTCGAATGTTCGAGAAGCGGTGTGGACGGCGCGGACGACGCGGACGGCGCACTACAAGGCGCGAGTATAAGATGCTCCGCATCTAAAAGGTGATCAAAACTAGGTAGGTAGGTAGGTAGGTAATACACTTTATTGATTCACAAAGGAAACATTTGAAGGGGGGTGTGGTTGGGGAAGTGGAATCAGGATGACGGCGAGCCCTCGGGCCGCTCTAGGTGGCCGGACACTGCTGTGCTTCGGCGACCCTTCTGGCCCAGCTCACTGTCCGGAGCTGTAAACCCGGTTGCGAGCTGCGCAGAGCAGTCTCCCATCGCTCCTGGTGTTCTGGCCCTTGCCACGGAGGCTTGGGTTTGTTTGGACAATTCAGAAATATGTGCTGGAAGTCGGCTCTGGTGCTAGGACATAAGTTGCAATGAGGCGAGGTTTCGCCATGTGTAAAAAGGGAGAGAAGAAAAGGGGTCGTTACTGTGGCCGTTTGAAGTCTGCGCCACAAAGCCTGGTCACTTCTGGAGAGAGTTTATGTGGCGGGGGATACGTTAGGCGGGAATTTCAGTAAAATAGCGTGATATCGTGATAGCTGAGGAGTCGATCCCTGGCGTTTCGAAGCGAAGGCAGGTCGCTGTGAGGCCGGTTGGCGAGTGCTCGGACTTGGGTGTGAGCGGCCGTGTTGCCTGGGTGTCCATAGTGCGCAGGGACCCAGAGGAGGGTGATGAGGCGATCAGGCGCAAGAGATGATTCAAGAATTTTAGCAGCCGGAGAATGAATTCGGAAAGTGGCGAAATTACGATATGCAGTTTTTGAATCGCAAAAAATATACTCAGCGGAGGAGTGAACAAGGGCTAAAGCAATTGCCGCCTCCTCTGCTTCCAAGGATTCTGTCGAATTTGGAAGGGACGCACTAGCGACCAGTTTTCGAAATCCATCTACGACGGCTACCGCGAAAGCTCGATGATCTACGTATTCGGCCGCGTCTACATAGACTGCGGGGGAATTAGGAGGGAAGCGCTTCTGAAGGGACTTGGCTCTGGCTTCCCGTCGCGCCCGATTATGTTCTGGGTGAGTATTTTTGGGGAGTGGCGGGATTAATAGGTTGCTGCTAACAGTGACGGGAACTGCGTGCGTGGCCGTGGTGTGACCAGGAACGTTGATTCCAAGTCGGCGCAGGAGTACCTGTCCTGTTTCTGTGAGTGATAGTCTTTGATATTGGCTGAAAAGATGCGCCTCTACAAGCTCTCCCAGAGTGTTGTGCACCCCAAGTTGAAGTAGTTTATCCGTGGCTGTTGATTTAGGGAGATGGAGCGCAGTTTTATAGGCATTACGAATGAGTCTGTTAAGTTGCTCGATCTCCGTAAGTGAGAGATAGAGGTAGGGGATAGAATAGGTAATTCTGCATAGGCAAAAGGCCTGTATGAGGCGGCGTGTGTGCTTCCCTCATGCCGCGATGACGATTGGATATGCCCTTAATGAGGGAAGCTGTATTTTGAACTGAGGTGCGGATTAACTTTATGGTGTCAGCGTTCGAACCATTGTCGGAAATATTAAGGCCTAAAATATTGATTTTATTGACCCTGCGAATAGGGGTGTCATCAAGCATGACTTGAATGTGACATGTATCTTGCTTTTTAAAGTCAATTACTAGGAGTTCCGATTTAGCCGCCGAGCAGGTGAGCCCAATATTGTTGGCGTGTTTAACAACAAGGTCAGCGGCCAACTGAAGCTTCGATTCGAATTTGCCATGGTTGCCAGTATTGACCCAGATGGTGATGTCATCCGCGTACAAGGAGTGATTGATGGAAGAAAGTTTGGCAAGTTCCCGCGCTAGCGGTATGAGAGTAACGTTAAAAAGGAACGGGGACAAAACCGATCCCTGGGGCGTTTCCTTGCTACCTAGCATGAAGGGATCGGTTTTGAAAGTGCCCAACTGTAGGCAGACGAACCTATTGCTGAGAAAGGCAGAGACATACCTGTGCGTGTGAGAGCCTACGTTTAGTTCACTAAGAGATTGTAAAATCGAGGAGTGAGAAACATTATCAAAAGCCTTAGTCAGGTCCAATGCAAGGATGGCTCTGGTGATGTGTGGAAAAGTAGGATTTAGCACGTCCTCCTTAAGCTGCAGCATGATATCCTGAGTGGAGAGTCCCGCTCGGAAGCCGTACATGGTGGAGGGAAACAGTTTTTCTTGTTCGATGTAGCGATTAAGACGATTGAGAATTACATGCTCCATCAGTTTTCCTGTACATGAGGTAAGAGAGATCGGTCTCAAATTATTAAGGTCTAACGGCTTATTATGTTTGGGTATGAAAGTCACCTTAGCTGACTTCCATTCCTGGGGCAGCGTGCCCTGCTCCCATTGTTGATTCATGTAATCGGTAAGAGCTGCCACTGACTTGGAGTCTAAATTTCGGAGTGTTTTGCTAGTAATTCCATCTAGTCCTGGAGCAGATGTGGTGCGAAGTTTGCTTAGGGCAGCCCAAACTTCCGCCTCTGAAATTGGTGCATCCAAGTCTGCATTGGGAGCTCCATTGTAGGGAGGTAACGATTCTCGCCTTGGGCCAGGGAAATACGTAGTTTTAAGAGCAGTTTCAACGTCTTGCCCTTGTTTTTCTACTTCAAACAAGAGTTTCGTAATTCGCTTATTACTTTCACATCGCGAGGAGCATGGATCTAACATATGGCGAAGCAGGGACCAAGAGTTCTTCATATGTAGAGTACCGTCGAGCCGGTTACATATCTGGTTCCATTGCTGCGATGAAAGTTCGGCCGCGTGTTCAGTTACAAGCTGGAGTGTTTGTGACATTTTGCGTTTTAGTTTACGATTATATTTTTGCTTGAGCCATCGTTTCTCCAAGCTCTGATAGGCCTCCCATAGGTGGAGTAGCCTACTGTCTACTGGATCACGGATATGTGCTGCTGGGGCTACTTTTTCGCTAAGAGCTACACATCCTGTTTAAGCTGAGACGCCCAGTCTTTTTAGTCTTGAATTTATTTTTTCGGGTTCAAAACTACGTGTAGTGTGCCTCAGCACAGATTTCTTAACTGACAGGATGCTCAGCATTTCGTTTTCATTGCAGCATTCATGAATAGAAGTTTGACACAAAGAAATGTGTCTCGTGATTTGCTATATATCGTGAGTTTTTGCTATATACATGACAGTGATTACAGCTGAGCCCTTTGCAATAAACTTCGCGATGAGTAATTCAAATGAAAGGAAAAAGATGAGCAGTGTAAATGCAGCATGTTTCTCTCCCATGGTGGAAATCAGTACTTCAGATGCAAATTGGGGTCGGAAATCAAAACACATTTCCTCTTCTTTCTTCCATCGACAGAGTCAAAGCATCTTCCTGGAGCACCCTTAAATGGGCGACGATCACAGCGTTAACCTGCTTGGGGCACATCGCTACAGTGTCCGCCGTCGTTGTGTCAACGACTAATGGACGCGTCCGCGGACAAACACGAACGTTCATGGGCGAGCAGCTGCAGGTATTTCTGGGAGTTCCATACGCTAAACCACCAATCGGTGAACTGCGTTTTCAAAAGCCACAGCCTCCAGATTCGTGGGACGACATCTACGAGGCAACTTCCATGAAAGATTCATGCATGCAAGCACGAGTTCCGTTGGTCTTCCACATACCGACGCCGCTCTCGGAGGACTGCTTGTACCTGAACGTGTGGACACCAAACGTTACACAAGGAGCGAATCTCCCAGTCCTGGTGTGGTTTTACGGCGGAATATTCAAGATAGGTTCAGCCTACGAAACAAGATATAATGCCACCGCCTTATCAGCCCTCAACGATGTCGTCGTTGGGTCGTGCAACTTTTGACTGTCCATATTTGGATACCTGGACGCGGCGACTATTCCTGGCAACGTGGGTCTGTGAGACCATTTGTTTGTGCTCCGCTGGGTGCAAGAAAATATACTAGCTTTCGGTGGGGATCCAAATTTGGTAACCGCATTTGGCCAAAGCTCTGGTGCTACGGCCATTCACGATATTCTGGTGTCACCATACAGCAGTGGCCTGTTTCACCGCATTTTTCTTATGATCGGGACACAAAGCACAGACAGTGACATAGATTCAGTTTGCCAAACCACTAGTAAAGAAAATGCCGTGTCGAAAGTTCTGGGCTGCGTAAATACCTTCAAAGATTTGGAAAATCACCCAGAAGTTGTGCTCATGTGTCTTCAAGGGAAATCCGCTGTTGAAGTCAGCGATGCTTCCGAAAATGTGACAGCGCCGAAAACATTGGCTTTCCTGCCCACATTTGGGACAGAATTCCTACCTTTGTTACCATCTATTGCCATTGCTGAAGGGCGTTTTCACCCTGTTGACGCAATGGTCAGCGTTACAGCGAATGAAGGAGCATTCGCGTATGTGATGCAACCGGACACTGAGCTTCTGTGGGGAGATCTGGAAGACTATGGCGGAGAAGAGTTGAATAATATCCTGTACGAGGATATCCTGTCTTCGTGGCTAAAAGACAGTGTCCTTCCATTGGCCAAGGTCTACCTGGAGGAAGATTCGCCTAGTAACAATACCGAACTCAGACAAGCTGTGGCGGATGTCATTGGCAATCACTACTTCTATTGCCCGAGCAGATTTTTCACTGGGTCGCATACAGCGAAAGGCGGCAAGGTGTACCCGTTTGTGTTTGGTCATAGGTCCCGATAATCTGACATGCCGAAGTGGATTCGAAATACGCATATGGAGGATGTACCGTACGTTCTTGGAATACCTTTTGTTGAACACGCAAACTACACCCAAGAGGACAGGAAATTCAGTGCTTTCATTATGAAGGCAGTTGTTTCATTCGCCCTTGAGGAGTAAGGCAGTGAAAAATATTTGTAAACTTTACAGATAGCTTTATAAGTACAATTGCTTAAGAACAGAACAAAAGAAAATGTGAGAAGAATTTTACATGATTTGTCTAAAGTTTACTGAGAGAAGCACTGTCACCTCAGGTCAGCCTAAGTGAATTTACTATGCACAACGGAGTAATATACTGCTAGCTGAATACCATGTCGCTCTTGCAAAAGGTGTCAATTCACTCAGTATATTTTTCCCGCTCATAAAAAAAATTATGCTTAAGAGTTCTTAAAACAAGCGACTTATTTCTATAGAGCTCTTCATTATTTATTGAGGCTCGAGTATTTCGTAGCATTCTGACATTCGTAAACTATAAGGATTCTTCTGCATTGAGCATGAGTTGTGCTAACACACACCAATTACCGGGCGACTTTTTAAAAATTACACATGTCCCCCTACGAGCAGCCATGGTGAATGTAAACGCATCGGGGATGGGGGGGGGGGGGGGCGCTTCGAAATTTTCGATTCGTGTTTCACTTCCGAACACAACCCTTTGAAAGTTAGAGTGCGAGATTGTATCAAGAAGAGAGGAGACGTTTATACGCGTGGTTGTTGTGTTTTTTTTTTTTGGACCGTACGTGATATCTTGCGTTGGCGCACGCGGTATCTTGAAGACGATGGTTGTTCTGGCCTCAAGCTCGCGTCGCCTCGTCGATCGGAATCGGGAGCTGCCTCTCGACGCTGTCGTTGCTCTTCAACTTACTGAAACTGGAGTTAGGGGTTGCTTAATAACACTGACGTTCCACCTCGGCATGCTGAGCCTGCATTGCTTCCGTAGAAGTTTCCAGTTGACGTTGACGTTTACGTTCGGCTTCCCTGGCCTGAACCTCGGGGTCCGCTTGTCGATGCCGACATTTACGTTCGGCTTCCTGCTCCGCTATCCTCTGTTTCATACTCTTCTCCGCGGCAGTGGCGCTGCTGCTGCAACTATAGCGCCAACGTTGACGTTGTTCAAGGCGTTTTTCACACTGTTGAACAAAGAGAATGCCTTGCCGGAAGCACAGCCAACGTGTGCTTTATACTGCGCCGTGACATTTGCGCCGCCTTCAGACCTACCTTTAGAGCTAAAGTGAGAGAGAGAATTATATGCAATGATTTGCTGTGCCCCAGCAGTGGCGGAAAGGGGAGAAGGGAAAGAGGAGAGTGCACACCTGCGTAGAAGAGGAGAATGAGGGAGAGTTGCGCATGCACAATATGGGTGCGGACGCCGCAGAACAGTATCTGGTTCGAGCGATTGATGCTATCTCATCTACAAATTTCTTCAGTTTCACAGCAATTGACTCAGCCTGGCAATGCTACCTGCGGATGGCAAATATAAGGCGAAAGTTTGTCTGTTTCAAGGTCGGGTTAATGCAAATATGGTTCGAAAGAGGTGATCATGCATGGCAGCTGCCCCTGTTTGTTGGTTCCTAGCTTCAAGACTCTGTCGCATCCTCACATGGAGGATTGGACAAGGAAGCGTATTGTAGCTTATGAATGTACTACGTTCAATTCGTCTTCGCAGCTTCGTGCGAGTAAAAATATAGAAAAAACGAGTGAGCGCAACAATAGTGCGTTCACTTCGTTCATTTAGCTTGTGTTATAAAAAGGTGTCGATTCGCGAACTAGGTGTTTCTGTAATACATACAAGACGTTTATTTAGACTGTTTATAACTCTATTTACAGCTGCTTTAGACAGTTGATCGTCTACGTTCTTTATCCAAATGTCTTGGGTCCCAATGAACACTTCGCGTTAGCAGCAGTGCAGCAGAACCGTCAGAACGGGGGTAGACGCGTGCTCTGCACATTGGTGTTGTGGAGATGAATGAGGGAATGAGGTTTGATGTTCAAGTTTAAGAAAGGAGTGGTGTAGGTGAGGTGAGAGGGACGGTTTTGCAACCCAGTCGCAGCAGGTGTCCGTCACCTATTTGTGTGCCATGACGTCAGTCTGCTAGTAGTGGTAAGCCTCCACTTCCTCTTTCGCTCACCCCAGGACTGAGTCCTGGGGTGAGCGAAATATGACGGTGCACCGAAATGTGATACGCGAGAGGTCTGCTATCTGGACAAAGCAGCAGCTGCACTCGTGTGGGATGTCCATATGCCAAGAAATGAAATGGCTCGTGTGTAACTTTAAGGAGTCATATATAATGGTCCAGACCCGCCGTGGTGGTCTAGCGGTAATGGTGTTCGAGGGTTGACCCGCAGTCCGAGGGATCGAATCCTGACCATGGTGGCCGCATTTTCGATGAAGGCGAAAATGCTTGAGGCTCCTGTTCTTAGACCTTGGTGCACTTAAAAAAAAAAACAGGGAATAAAAAGTTTTGGTGCCCTCCACTACAAAGCCTCTCATAATGATATGGTGACTTTGGGGCATTATTAATATTATTATTATTATTATTATTATTATTATTATTATTACCGAGTAAGCACAAACGTGGGGAACCCTCTGTGGTCTGAAGACTACTCGTAATACGGCTATAAAGACCCACTGATAACGTATTATGAAATTTACATGCATTGAAGACGCAAATGCCTAATATAATTACCTCTCTCTATGACTAGACGGCTCCAGAGCGAAAATTTGGGGTGACACCTGCAAACTAACACTTACACACTAGCCTGTGGTTACAGGTTCGGCAAGCGTTTGTTATCTGTGTGTACGATATCAAATGAAAAAGATTCGTGGATTCTTACCCAAAAACTGCTCGCCTAATTTCCCTATGCCGATGACCCAGCCAAGCCACGTTCGCGTTCTGACGCTGCCTAGTTCGCTGCTTCTGCTCGCTAAGCTGGGAGTTCTTGCGCTGTTGTCGGAGTTGAACATCTCCAGTTCACGGTGCTTGTGTACGCCGCCGCGTGTGTTCAAAGCTTCATTCCACATCGATATGCATCAACGTGGCTTTCGCTTTCACGTTCCAATAACGTTATAGGCCTCCCCGCTTTTTTATGTTTTGTTTCGCAAGTTTTCTTCAACTTTGCCGAGTTATGTAGAACCATGAGTAGAACTCGCCATGTCTTCGTGCTTCTCGCGCACATTATAAAAGCGTGCAATTTTGACTAGAGCCAAGATTCACCACTCAGGAGCACCTCTAGGTCTTAGCGTACTTTTTTTTTTATCTGCGACGCATACTGCGAAACTTGTTTGAGTTTTATTTTTATCATTTTATTACCATAAATTGAATAAATATTTTAACTTTTATTGCAGGATACATATTGTATTATGCGTGGAACTTTTGCACTTGTTTACAGTAGCACTTTGGGATATTCTTATGTGTGTTTTATATGATTATTTTTTGGGCATTCTCATAAGCGTTTTCTTGTATTGTTGTCCATCGTTTTATTATTACTTTCACGTGCACGACATGTGGAAAGAAGTAGGTTGTGTGATTTGTAAGCGTCAATACGTAGATTGATAACGAGGCTCCTTTCCTATTTCTTTTTTTTTTTCAACAGCAAGCCTATACCACCTGAAGGCATGGATGAGTGGCCAGTGTTCTCAGCCGAAAGTCCAGATTTTTTATGGCTCGAGGAAGAACACAATGCTGTGTTGCAGAGCTTCATCAATACCACTTGTCACTTATGGAGAAACTATCTGTAGAGGGTATCAAGAACACAGCAGGCATCCTTTAGCAGTAAATGACTCGCTTCCTTACATTTCTATACTCGAAAAACGAAGTCTACTTTTTAAGCTAGAATGTTTATCAAAATAAACATTTTTTTCCCGCATTACATTTTGCATCTTAGACGCTTATTTTTATGACAGACTCGCTTGACAGAATATTTCAAGTCACTTCAGCTCAGGAATGTTTGTGAGGAAGGAGGGAAGGTCACGTAGACTGCAACTTTGAAAAAGGCCTGGTAGATTTCTTAAAACATGTCACAAAGGGCATCGTCCCAGAGCTTTTTGGTGCCTAAGGCGCACAGAATGACAGGAAGAGGAGGGAACAAAATCGCTGTGCACTTTACCGTTTTATGCATTG